GAAAATTGTGATCCCTTAAAAAGGCTTTTTAAACCCCTATCCCTCCCTCCCAACAAACAAAACAAAAGACGACACTACACCCTACACCCTAAACCCCTAAACCCTACACCCTAAACCCCTACACCCTACACCCTTGAACCCGAGCCCTGAGGCCGCAATGTTCAACCTTAAGTCCTCCTCCCTAAAGCCCCGAATCCTGAGTAGGGGATCAGCGTGTCCCACACTGAGGCTCGGTTTAGGGTTTAAGGTTTAGGGTTTAGGGTTTAGGGTTTAGGGTTTAGGGTTTAGGGTTTAGGGTTTAGGGTTCAGGGTTCAGCTTAGGGTTTAGGGTTTAGGGTTTAGGTTTTAGGGTTTAGGTTGAGTCCCGGTATCAACCGTCATTGCTGTTGGGGCTCTGGAAGGTTACGATGAGAAAGCGTGATGATAGGGCTGCTACAAGTTATAAGGGTTCTAGAGGGTTACCCCAAGGGGTAGCATGGGGGCTACCATAAGAGCTGCCGGACGTGGGGCTTCTAGGGTTTAGGGGCGTAGGGTTACCCCCATATCCCAATCCTCAATGCCCTAAATTCGAAGACCCAGCTCCCAAAGTGTCAAGACATCGTCCAACCTGGAGCCCACAAGAAGCTCGTGCAACCCAAGCAAGGCATCTGGAGCATCAAGGCCTAGGGTGTAGAGCTTGGGTAGCTCTATGCTTTGAGCTTAGGCTTTCGTCGATTTAGGTCATAGGCTTAACACAGATCCCCGGGCGTAAGATCTCTCAAAGCCTCCAGCTCCTAGGGGTTTGTGGCTAATGCTCAGGGACTCCGCATCTACCCGAATGGAAGCTCCCCGTATGTACAGTTCGTCGGCAACAAATCGATGAAAGGCCTGGCGCGAAAGCAGCTGGTCTTGGAGTTGGCGGTGCTTTGGGCTTGGGGTTCCTTCACCCCTCTAAACCCTAAACCCTAAATCCTAAACCCTAAACCCCTAAACCCTTAAACCCTAAACCCTGAACCCTTACACCCTTAAACCCTAAACCCTAAACCCTAAACCCCTAACCCCTAAACCCTAAACCCTAAAGCACCATGTAACTGTAAACCTCACTTGCCCAAGCCCCTTTCCCAGCCCGACCCGACACCCATACAAAGCCTAAGCACCCGCCTACAGACCTTCTTAGGGTTTAGGGCTTTCAGTTTACCTAAATCCAGCCAACCCTAAACCCTAAACCCTAAACCCTAAACCCTAAAACGAAAACGTGAGTGACGTCATTACCGCTCTCCTCAGTGAATATGATCAGCAGAGCAGTTTCCTAAGCCCCCAAAGAGCCGCAGAGCCCACGAAATCCTTCAACCCTCCGGTTTTAGACCCCAAAACCCAAAGCCCTAAAGCCCTAAACCCTAAAACCGAAAGCCCTAACCCCCTAAACCCCGAAAACCCTAAACACCCCCAAACCCCTAAAGCCCTAAACCCCACATCCTAAAACCCTAAACCTCTAAACTCTAAACCCGGAGCCTACAGCCTTAAGCCTAAACACTAAGCCACTTCAAACCTGAGCCAGAAACTCCTTCAAGCCTCCCGAAAATCCTGAACCCTAAACCCTAAACCCTAAACCCTAAACCCTAAACCCTAAACCCTAAGCCTCCTGCCTCCGACTTCCGGGAGGCTCTATCCTTGTGCTGGAGGCAACGGTGGCCCCTGCCAAGCTCAGATAGGGTGTAACTAGGACTTAGGGTGTAGGGTGTAGGGTTTGGGGTGTAGAATTTAGAGTTTGCTGGTTTGTAGAAGTCACCAACAGTTTGGTTTGAGGGCTTCACTGACAAATACATTACAGTGTAGACTGAGGGCTTAGGCTTTTGCGGTTTAGGGGTCCAGGGTTAGTCGGCGGGCACGCATAAATGCATATATATATATATATACACACAAACATATGTGTGTATAACCTGAGAGACAACGTTACATAGAGCTCCTGAATATGCATAATGGTATTCCCCAGTTATCTTGCCTCAGTAACTGAAGTGAGTGCTTAGAGGCGAACTTTGGTATATTCTAGTGAATTAGATAGCCTGCCTTAGTGAAACGAGAAGATCCAGACCAGCATAGTAAGCCCTCAATGATTCAAGACTAAAGCCTTCAACTGAAACCCCTAAACCCCTAAACCTATAAAACCCTTAAAGCCCCAGAGCCCCTGAACACGTGAAATGACATACTATGCCATGATTGTACATAGAACCCTTGTAGAACCTACATGACTCCACTGCTCCTTCGAAAGTCTGAGATCCTTTTGACAAAGGAGCAGAATCGAAAACAAGCCCCCAAAGCTGTCCAAAGAACAGTCACACTGATCACGTACAATCCCTAGACTTAGTGGTGGCTTAAGAATAATGTGTTCCTCTACTTATTTACTGATTGGTGCTGTGATCCCGTGTGGGACCATACGCTGGCAAGCTGTACTGAATATAGCTACCTTCTATAACTGGGCCGGGGTCTTGGGGATTGCATACTGTACCCATACCAAGGAGCCCTACAGAATCCGCATCCATATACTACTTGCCGGACCAACAAACCCTATAAGCCCTCCAACGGCCGTCTAAAGCCGCTTGCTTCACAACGTCACACAAACCTCCTTGAGGATCGCCACGAATCCTTTCCAGATAAACAAGGAGGGATGGGTTCCTTTGGCCTCATCATCCTTCAACCTCCAGTCCGCGGCGTCAAAGAAAGCCAACCGGGGCATCCCGACCTCGGTTGACACCAAGGACACCGCGAGATTTGACCTCGTGATAATGAACCCTAAACTCTAAACCC